TATCGGGGAAGGCACCTTACAAGCTTCAATTTGTCCAAAATCCAGTGAGTGCATTTCAATTTGCGCAATGTCTATACTGTAAACTGTATTACACTATATTTTCTCTATTTACTTTTGTAGAGATTATCAGCCGGTTCCCTTGTTGTTTTTTCTACATTTTGCTGTCAAGTTGATCGCTAGCTGGGAAGCGATCTGAGGGAGGCTGTATTCATCTTCGTTTGATAAGTATCTTTTGCATATATATTAAGGTGTATAAGGTACAATATTGTTGGTTGTTTTTTAGTAGGTATACAGTGTATGCATATTTTATTTATATAGCGCTAACAGGTGTCCTCAGCACTTTACAGGTTACATTACAGTAGAGCGAGGTACAGTAAGTGCAGTAGGTATACAGTGTATGTATATTATATTTATATAGCACTAACAGGTGTACTCAGTACTTTACAGGTTACATTACAGTAGAGGGAGGTACAGTAAGTTCAGTAGGTATACAGTGTAAGTATATTTTATTTATATAGCGCTAACAGGTGTACTCAGCACTTTACAGGTTACATTACAGTAGAGGGAAGTACAGTAAGTTCAGTAGGTATACAGTGTATGTATATTATATTTATATAGCGCTAGCAGATGTACTCAGCACATTACAGGTTACATTACAGTAGAGGGAGGTACAGTAAGTGCAGTAGGCATACAGTGTATGTATATTTTATTTATATAGTTCTAACAGGTGTACTCAGCACTTTACAGGTTACATTACAGTAGAGTGTGGGGATATTTATGGGATAATAATAGTAACAGTTGAGAATTGCCCACTATTTCAATTCTCAGATCCCTAAGAACGTTTATCGTGTTAAGTGGAATGTATTTCATATAATAATATCACAATGTATAAAAATAGATTTTTATTTATAATGACAATAATTAATTAATAATAATATATGTAACATGCATGACAATAATCAATGAATATTCAGTATAAAATGATATGCAATACAAAGAAATGGGTATTACGTTTCAATGGCTAAACGGCATTATCTGTCAAGACTTTGACGATTTATGAGGTATCCTTAACACAGACTTAAGTGAAACTTTTCACAGAGAACAGAATTCCTCAGAGTGCAGCGTAAGGTCGTAAAGTTTAGCAGACAGTTAGAGTAACCCTTTCAATGCTGGCTAGATCTCCTAGGTAGTTAAGATCTATTCTTATGTAATTTTTAAATAAAATAACATTTAAACCAGTTCATTAGCCATTTCCTGAAAACAATCCAATAAGAGAATCTACATATTATATAAGCAGATTTTTAATTTGTCTAAAGATATCTATCTTAATTTAGAGCAAATCAATACACCTGGATAAAAACAGCGGTATGCTAACACGTGATAATATCACATCAATATATAATTATTCTTAATTCCACCTGCAGAATGGAATATTTATAACTATATATTCTTTAGTTAACTAAAGATTTCTTAATATGGAAATCTGACCGTGCTTTATCCAGTCATATATAATGCTATTAATACATTTTAATTAATTTAATTTAATTAAATGAAACCAGTATAATTACCAGTTGAGTAGATATTTCATCCGATTGGTAGTCTCAGGAATTTATTTGGATGTGTCTCTGCATGGAGGTTGGAGTCCCCAAACTTCCAATTCCTCTCTTTTCTCTCCTTTGCATATCTTGCATCTGCCTCCTTCGTATTTCCCTATCTTCCCTTTGTCTTAACTTTTAAAGGGCCAGACTCTCTGTACGTCATCAGTTGATAACCCAATAGAAGCACTAGAGGTGTGGTTATCTTCCAGATCTAAAATTAGTTATTTGGTCTATAGAGGGCAGTCTTGTCCCACTAAACATACCTATCCAGGAAAGAGTTAACTTTTCCTGGTGGCTATTTTGACGTCATTTTGCGTTATCTTTATAGTGCCATAATTTAAAATTTCAAAGGGTTTCTTAAATTTTGTCCAGACTTAGCGTCTGCAATTCCTGCCATAATTTCTGATATGACAGATCATGAACTAAGTTTACCCTTTTCCATACAATGGTACCTTATATATATAGACAGTTAAATATTAAATTATTTAATCTTCTCTGTCACAATTGTCTGGGTTTAAATTTGATTATATTCCTCTTATCACTTGTTTATACTATGCATTCCTTAGCTCTGGCAAAGAGGCCAGTCTTACAGAAAGAAATCCTGTGTCTCTTTGTCTTTGTTAACTTGGAATAACAAAATGGAGTCTGGTCTGTTCAGAGTGACTCAGAATATACACTTTTAGTTTCTATCGTAGCACAAAATGTCTGCCGATATAAATACCCTGACATAACCCCCCTTTAGTGCATTTCATAGCCAAAATTAATTTAGCTTATGAATAAGCACTATAGAAGTTATCAGACATATTGTGCAATCACATCATTTCTAACATAGTACATGCGTGGAATGAACATTTTTGTATATATTTGTACCTGTAAAAGTTTTGAACTTTACACTTAGTACAATCAACCATAATATCATTATTAACATAGTACATTATTTTCATTTGAAAAATGTCTTTGGGAGTTACATATGGTATGGCCAATAAAAAGCAAATCTCCATACGTTCCGGATCAATTAAGAGAGGTATAGCGCTCCCCATCTCAAAGGCCAGATTTAATTGCATAGGCTCAATTGTCTCTCCATCCACATTGGCAAGCATCGCATGAACAATATCATTGGATACAAAATACAGAGGTATGCGTCCCCCTGCCAATTCGATCATTCCAGTTTGCACTTCGTCAAGAAAAGCAAGTGTGTGGAACAATATTGGGTCATGCAGAAATAAAAGTTCACGCTTGAATAAGTCATGACTTTGGTGCAACTCAGTGGATTTGGCAATTACCTCTGAATGCAAATTTGTTGTAACAACTGTGTCTTCCACAATAGTTAACACGTCTTGGAGAAGTGTTCTTTGCTGTTGTATCACCTGATGAATATCGTTAATGTGTTGCTTTAGCGCATAGATTTCCATATCCAGCTTTTGGACAGTAATAGAGTTGGCTGCAGACATTCCAGTTGCGACAACTGCACCGACAGTAGCACAAACTAATGCAACAATTATAGCGGTGAGGAACCTTTTGGGTCGGTTGCTCATCGGAATAGAACTGGATACAAATGGTTTCCGGGCTTGCTCCAAGATGTTTCGCACACGGTCCTGTGCTCTTTCGAGGTGCATCTGGTACCAAGTCTGTAACTCAGGAAGCTGCATCGATGAAATGTTGTATGCCTTCTCGATGGAAATCTTGGGGTCCAAGCTGACGAACACACGTCGGGTCAGGATCCTCTTCTCTGTTAAGATGAACCCTGGTGTCTCTTGAATCAGGATGCGGGAGGATGGTCCCATCTCTGCAATCGGGTCGGTCCGTAGCTCTTGGCACAGGAGCAGTACGATCCAGAAACACGTCACATCCTTCTTGGACATCTTTCGACAGTCACGGATCAGAAACTCGTTTCAGACTTATCTACTAATGATTCAAGGTTTGTTAAGCATACAAACTTATAACAGTGTGACATCACTTGGCCTAGGACAACACATTATTACGATTCATCAACATATGTATTCTGTCTAATTCTATTTTTATAACTTCATCCCTCACTACATTTATTACTGACTCCTCAGCAATTTGCCTATAGCAGTTAAACAAGCTAGTAACCTGCTTATAAAATGTAGTTATTGGATGGCAAGGAAATGGTTAATGACATGAACGTACATGAGATCATGGCACATCACAACATTTCACATCATACTATACCACGTGAATCAAGCATTCATCCGGTTAGTCGTTCACCCTTCTGCATCCGAATCCACACCTATAATCCTTAATTGAGATTTAGGATGACAAGCACGCAACTGGTTAATGTGAACCCACTTTTCAATAAAATCACCATCCTTAGGAATTTTTATCTTATACGCTACTGGGGAAATTTTGTCAATGATGACATATGGCCCTTTCCAAGAAGGTAAAAATTTCTTGATAGACTTGATAGACTTGATCTGTGATCTCATATTCCTTTTTCGTGGTTTTTAGATCGTAATAGGTCTTAACCCCTGTCGCTGCTTTTTCTAGATTCTTTTGGGCAAAAGCAAACGCATGCTGTAAATGCTTGCGCAAATCTTCGATATACTGATGCGTAGTAGCAGCATTGATCAAGTTATGATCTGAAGTACGATATAGTAAATGCTGTGGTAAAACCATCTTTCTTCCTGTCATCAATTCAAAAGGTGACAATTTGGTAGCAGTGCTAGGTGTAGCTCTAATCACCATTAAAACTAGGGGCAATTTAATGTCCCAGTCTTTACCAGACTCCTTAACATATTTCTTTAGAATATTAACGATAGACTGGTTATATCGCTCTACCCCCCCGCTAGACGCAGCGCGGTATGCAATATGTAGCTTTCGTTTAACACCTAGAATGTTCCACATCTTAGCCATTACTTCGCTGGTAAAATGACTACCTCTGTCTGACTCAATTCTTTGGGGCAGACCGAACCTGGAAAAGACATGGTTAATCAACAAAGTGGCGCACACGGTACTCGTGTTCTCTTTACAAGGCAAACATTCTATCCACTTTGTGTACATACATGTAACAGTTAACATGTATTTGTTACCTCTTGAAGATCTTGTTACAGGACCTATAAAGTCAATTTGAATATCAGACCAGGGTAATGACACCCCCCTCTTCTGAAGTGATGCACGATGGGTTGGACCATGGGGTTGATATTGCGGACAAATCAAGCATCCCTGACAGTATGTCTTAACGTCCCTTAACATGTGTGGCCAATATGCATAATCACGCAATATCTCATATGTGATCTTATCACCACGATGCCCAGATGTAGGTGCATCATGTGCGTGTTGGAGCATTAACCCTCTGTATACAGTTGGGACTACCCATTGTTGTATACCATGTTTAGAAGTCCTGACCAGTAACCCATCCATGATACTAAATTGGACTTTATATCTCATCAAGATTCGTAAATCTTCATTATCTTTGCAATCCACATCTGTGATGGGATTGGCAGTAGGGTCTTCTATATGTTTATAGAATATGCCTATGACGGGATCATTCTTTTGACTAGTAATCAGGTCATCACTAGGAGCTTCTTGACTCCATTGCACGACATTTAAGTCGGCATTATCTCTAGCCTGTCGTCTAGTTATGGCTTCAACATGAATTGAACCCATAAGATCATCAATGTTTAGTGTTTCACCATTGATGGCAGCTTGTTTTGCCAGTGAATCGGCTAAGTCATTACCATCCTTGTCAATACCTTCTATTTTAGAATGGCCTTTGGTTTTCTTCCAATATATGGTTAAACCATTTTCCTTAACCAACTCATCGATTTTACAAAACAATTTCCCATGTTTAACAGGTTTGTTATTGCTTTTCAGCATTTGGTTACGTTTCCAGCTAGGCAGATATTCGACGAAACTGTTGCGAACATAGTTGGAATCAGTTATAACAACAAATTCTTTGATACCATATTCTATTGCCATTTGAATGGTCTTATATACTGCACAGAGTTCGGCTATCTGACTGCTTTTGGGACCAATATTGTATCCTATAGATACATTGGGATAATCACCTGTCCAGGCGATTCCGATACCTGCAACTAACTTCCGTTCAGCACCAACTACGTGGTGATATGAACAACCATCAATGTATACCCACGGTAGTGGTCGACAGTATTCCTCGTCATAAACTTTATAAGGAGATAGCAATTGCTCTTCTAGGAAATCATCTCCGGTGTCATTATCATCCAGAGATGGAGCAGTACAGTCATGTAATTCTGCTAAACCTTGGGCAACTGGGCTTCTCTTATTATGTTTATAACGGACTTCTAACGGCCATCCCTGTAAGGATAGAGTCCATGCAGTAATCCGACTGTTAGAGAGATTACCGTCTCTAATTCTTTCACTCTGCAGATACTGTAGAGGTTGGTGAGCTGTTTCTACAATTATTTTCTCACCTTGGATATAGCTACGAAAATTTTGTAGTGCCCAGACAGTCGACAATAACGCCTTCTCACACGTGTTGAATTTAACTTCAACAGGTGACAAAGTCTTGCTAGCATATGCAATAACTTTGTTTAAACTGTCCTGCTTCTGATACAGAACAGCACTTATGCTTAAATCGGTATATCCTGTCTCCAGATAGAAGGGTTTACCCCCCTCTGGGTATGCTAAACAGGGTGCCTGAGTGAGCTTCCTCCTCAGTTCACTTACCGCTTGGTCCTGAGGCTCCCCCCAGTTCCAGGTAGTTTCCTTTTTAAGCAGGTGTAAGAGTGGTTTAGTTATTTCTGCATAGTTATCTATAAACTTACGGGAGTAGTTAGTCATACCAAGGAACGATCTTAATTCCCTGATGTTTGAAGGTGTTTTAGCCTTTAGTACGGCTTCAACCTTCTTCCTCTGGGGATTTAATCCTTCAGAAGTTACCTCATGTCCGAGGAAATTGACATGGGTGCGACACCATTGCGCCTTTTGTAAAGACAGTTTAATCCCTGCCTCTCTTAACTGAGTGAGAACATGTCTAATCTCTAAGATATGCTTATCAAAGGAAGTGCTTTTCAGCAAGACATCGTCGACATATGATAACGTTCCTCTCTCGAGTGCGTCAGGCATAGCTTTATGCATGAACACAGCGAATTCATGACCAGAGTTTATATAACCGAAAGGCATACGGGTCCAGGTATACTGCTGCTTTCAAAATGTGAAGGCCAATTTGTATTGGTCTTCATTATGGACTGGTACAGTCCAATATCCCTGCGCACAGTCAATGGCAGTGAATATTTTGGATCCCTGCATTTGTACCAAACATTGGTCTATGTATGGCGTTGGCCAACCAGACATATAGACGCGTTTATTTAGCTGTCGTAAGTCAGCGCATAAACGCCATTGTCCATTAGGTTTCAGAATCCCCAAGATCGGATTATTATACGAACTGTGCACTGGACGTATAATGCCCCTTTCCTTTAAATTCTGAATGATGTCTTGTAGACCATCATATGACGCTAATGGGAGTCTATATTGTTTGATAAATACAGGTGGTAAATTTGGATCAGTTTGTATTCTGGCTACGTGGAGGTTAGTTAACCCACAGTCGTAGGAATCTTTGGCAAAAATATCTTGGAATTCCAAAAGGATTTCCTTTAGCTGTTGCCGCTCAGCATCGTTGGAGCAACCGTCAGCTAAAGATATTTGCTCTTCTAGCCTTTCCTGAAATCCTGGAAAGATTTCAGGCTGGCCTATCTCATAAGCTTCTTCAAGCCTAGAAGTTAGGTCAGTTCGGTGTTGACTTACCTTTTCTCTTTGGTCGTGATACTCTTGTGATTCCTGCTCATTGAGCGGATGATCGAAGGTGATTGATGCTTCTTCGATTTTACACGAGCCTTCTTCAACGTTGAAGGGATACACAGATAGGATAGTGAATAATCCTTCTGGGGAGGAATGGAATATTTGATCGACAATTTCGTCCTCAGTTAAGTATTCTTCAGGGATGAGGCCTATAATTTGGTTTTGGAAACCAAATGTATAGTACTCAGCATCCAATGCTAGACCTAATAATGTTCCTTTTGGTAAAGTAACACTATTGGGTGTAACATTGTTGACCATGATATAGGTGGGATTCTTACCAATACTTACCATTGGTGTATGTGTTACCACCATCCCTAATTGTTGTATCCTGTTGGATAAACAGATTAGGGCATCAGAGTTTTCCAATCTCTGACCCTCCTTGACCTGTAGGGGTAAAAGAAAATTACTTGTCCCCTGTGGAATGGTTATGTCATCAGGAACTTGGATACTTACCGCATATGGGAGTATTTGTCCTGATTTCAGGGCGTTTTCCTCGTGTAGGTATCCACAAGGATTACCTTTTAACCTTGTCCACAAGTTGGAATTAATCAGGTCAAGGTGTATGGCAAAGCGATGTATGACATCATTGCCAACGTAAACCTGATAGCGAGGTTCGTTTATCACTAAGAATAAATGTTTAACGGTCTTATTTCCGATGGAAATAGATAGTAAACATTTTGCTATCACATTGTGACTCTCTGATTCGCCATCCAGGTTCTGGATCCACCTGTCATGTGGGGAAGCGTACCTGATCATTTTAGGATTAGCGATCTGCTTTAACAGACTTCTGCTAATATAGCTGTTCTCACTCTGTAAGTCCAGCTTTGCATTCCTACTTCTTCCTAAGTCATTTATTTGCATAGGAAAGAATAGGTTGTTATTAACCCTTTCAATTCTGGCAAGGAATTGAGCATGACCTGCCAGATCTACAGATTCAACATAGTCCCTGTGGAGAGAAATGGTTAAAACATCACCTTCCAGAGAGACATTCTGGATCCTCTCTGGAGCAATTCTTACGGAATGCTCATCTACAGGTGCGATTGCATCATTCACCTGCAGGATAGTCACGTCAGGTGACTGACTATTTCTAAAATGTACCTCAATTGAGTCAGGTCTTTCTTCTATCACATGGCAGTTACGATCAGATTGAACATGTGATTTCTCATAGGTAATGGGAACCTTAGCTTGTGACCATACAATTCCATTCACACAGTCAATAATTTTGTTAAGTCTTCTGAGTATGTCTATACCCAGAATCAGTCGGTCATAGGGGAGATCTACCACTATCACCGGGTGTCTAAAGGTTTTGTTACCTATTTTAAACTTTAACCAGGTATTGCCAATAACATGAAGGGCATTTCCTCCTACACTCAACAGAGCATTGGGGAAATCTCTTAGCTTCGGCTTATCCGTTGCTAAGTCCATTACCTGCTGGAAGTAGGTATTGGATAAGATAGTGGCTTGTGAACCAGTATCTATTAACCCTTTTAAAAGGCTGGGGTAGCGAATCCTGTATTTCTACAGACATGTAGTACCTTCCTTCATGTTCTTCTAATTCACATAAGAATTTAGAATGTGTCAACATATTACTTGTTTTCCATACATTACCGGTCACAGCAGTAGTTTCTACCTGTACTGAGGAATGCTCAGTCTTACCCACAGGCCCATCCTTTTTAGGAATAACTTGAACTGTCAAGCGGGAACTAGTGGTCGGCATCTCATCAGTTAACCCTTTCAGGTCTGGATCCTGGAAACTAGTGGTTGCTGGGGCTACTTTAGCCTTTGGCTGAAATGAAAAAACAGAGGAACACGTTGCGCCTCCTTCACCCGAAAGTGAAGTGACGGGATAGGCAATAGGTTTTCTAACACAACTATTGTTTGTTTGACTATGAGTACCTGGAAAGGAAACAGGGTTAGGCATTACATCTACTGATAACCTAGCCTGTTTAGTCACAGTGGCTATTATTGCTGCGGCACCTGTTGTTGCTGCGGTTGCACAGGTAGTTCTGCAATTGGAGCTATCCCTAAAAAAGGATTTAGAGCAAAGACTTGGTTAATCTTTGTCATTTCCTCCATTAATTTGCCCATCTGGTCTGTCAATTGACCAACCTGACGACGCAAATTATTTCCCCCATTGCCGTTTTGTCTTTGCCCATTAGAATTTGGCTGGGATGGCTGAGACTGTTGGGAGTTACTGGAAGCAGATTGGTTATTTCTGTTTCCATATCTCCTATTTCCCTGAGGATTCCTTCTCCATTGGGAATTGCCTTGGTTTTTATTAACCCAGGGGCGTTTATTCCCATTGGCATTGGATTTTTCAGAGTTATTAGAGGAGTTTGCAGAATTGCTTCTGGCGTTTTCCTGTTTCTGAGGTTTTGGTGTTTTCAAAACCTCGGAATAGGTCCTCTTTTTCTGTTGGGTTTCTAAACCTAACTGAATTTTAGTCTCTGACACCATTTTATCACCAGGTTTCTTAACCTTTGGCTGATTTTCGTCATGTGCATGGTGTATAGTGTACAACTTCATGCACTGACTGACTAGCCATTCTAATGGTAACTTACAATCGTAATCTCTTGCGAGATTCATTTGTATGTTTACTGGCATGGCATGAAAATACAGATCTTTGAAGTCTGTGCTTTCATACCTGGGTTTTCTTTGGGCCACGGAGTATGCATTTTTAAGAATTATTAAAAATTCTCTGGGGCTTTGATCTGGACGGCACTTTAAGTTATAAAGCGCCTTCTTTGCAGAGGCAATGGTTTTATACTTACCATATTCCATGATTATTTCATATTTCATCTTGGACCAGGACATTAACTGTATAGCTTGAAGACTTTCTAGATAAACACGGCACATTGAATCAAAGGTCCATGTAATGAACCATTTCTTATGAATGTCATCATACATGCCCAATGAATTCATTGCTCTATCATAATTTTCCAGATGTTCAGATATGTTTCCTGAACCTCTAGAAAATTGTGGGACAGTCTCTCTAAGGAATTTGATGACCTTTGGTGTTTCATAAACAGGCGTCGTTGATTTACGATCTCTGTTTCTGTGTTTGGGTAAACGTCTATGCGATCTGTCTGCTGAAGAGGAATTAGACCCGTACAACAGTGCAGATGGCATATCAGTTACATGGCCTTCAGAGTGGATAGTGCAATCACTTTCACTCCCATCACTCTGAGCTTCTTGTTCACTGTCACAATTCTGATCAGCATCAGAATCCTGCCAGTGTACAGAACCATGTCTGTTTTCATTCCTATCACCTTGAATTGGACTCTCCCTCTCAAGTTTGGCCAAGACAGCTTTTTCAAACTGTTCTGCCCAAGATTGCCAAGAATCTACAGGTGTTTTCTCAGAATTACTCACATCTTTACTTACAGACTGTTTTATGAAGACCTGGTTTGGTGTGGGAAAATCATAATAAGGAGGGGATTTACTGATAGTCTTTTCTTGCATTTTTGTGCAACTTTTTGGCACAGAATGATGACTACTAACCTCACTGCCTGATTTCTGACTCTCCTCTTCATACTCATCCAATTGCGTTTTAAGCTGATTTATTTCCTGTGCATAATTATCCGTCAAAGCTTTCATTTCTTTTTCATGATCAGCCTGACGAGTTTTATGCTCAGCAAGTAAATCTTGGTATTTCCCATTTTGAATGCCCAGATCGTCACTTTTGTTCAGCAATTTCTTTAAGATATATTATTATGTGTTCATCACTTAGAATGGTATGTTTAGCTTCCCATTCTATGCTTTTCAACCAAACCTCATAGGTTGAATCATTTTTCATATGTTTATGAATATGAACTAGAGCATTTTTTCTTAGGTCTTCAATTATTTCAGTATTATCTGTTACAGATGTATTGCTGGATTCAGCCATATTTCTATACACTGATTTAATCTCAATACAAAACTCTTTTCTATATCAAGATTAAATTGCATGAATTACACCAATATTATTATTATATATGAAATACAATTTCAACTTAAACGATCTCAGCACCGTGCCTCCAATATGTGGGGATATTTATGGGATAATAATAGTAACAGTGAGAATTGCCCACTAATTCAATTCTCAGATCCCAAAGAACGTTTATCGTGTTAAGTGGAATGTATTTCATATAATTAATATCACAATGTATAAAAATAGATTTTATTTATGATAATCAATAATTAACAAATAATATTATGTAACATGCATAACAATAATCAATGAATATTCAGTATAAAACGATATGCAATACAAAGAAATGGGTATTACGTTTCAATGGCTAAACGGCATTATCTGTCAAGACTTCTACGATTTATGATTAGCTTTCACAGACTGAAAGTTAAACTTTTCACAGAAGAACAGAATTCCTCAGAGTGCAGCGTAAGGTCGTAAAGTTTAGCAGACAGTTAGAATAACCCTTTCAATGCTGGCTAGATCTCCTAGGTAGTTAAGATCTATTCTTATGTATTTTTAAATAAAATAACATTTAAACCAGTTCATTAGCCATTTCCTGAAAACAATCCAATAAGAGAATCTACATATATAAGCAGATTTTTAATTTGTCTAAAAGATATCTATCTTAATTTAGAGCAAATCAATACACCTGGATAAAAACAGCGGTATGCTAACACGTGATAATATCACATCAATATATAATTATTCTTAATTCCACCTGCAGAATGGAATGTTTATAACTATATATACTTAGTTAACTAAGATTTCTTAATATGGAAATCTGACCGTGCTTTATCCAGTCATATATAATGCTATTAATATATTTTAATTAATTTAATTTAATTAAATGAAACCAGTATAATTACCAGTTGAGTAGATATTTCATCCAATTGGTAGTCTCTCTGCATGGAGGTGTTGGTTAGAAAGTCAGTAAATTCTAAGTGTTAGAGTTTTAGGAGTAGAGTGTTATTCTCAGATGTTGTCCGAGTTGGAATCCCCAAACTTCCAATTCCTCTCTCCTCTCCGTTGCATATCTTGCATGTGCCTCCTCTCGTATCTTTCTTCTATCTTCCCTTTGTCTTAACTTTTAAAGGGCCAGACTCTCTGTACGCCATCAGTTGATAACCCAATAGAAGCACTAGAGGTGTGGTTATCTTCCAGATCGCAAATTAGTTATTTGGTCTGTAGAGGGCAGTCTTGTCCCACTAAACATTCCTATCCAGGAAAGAGTTAACTTTTCCTGGTGGCTATTTTGACGTCATTTTGCGTTATCTTTATAGCGCCATAATTTAAAATTTCAAAGGGTTTCTTAAATTTTGTCCAGACTTAGCGTCTGCAATTCCTGCTATAATTTCTGATATGACAGATCATGAACTAAGTTTACCCTTTTCCATACAATGGTACCTTATATATATAGACAGTTAAATATTAAATTATTTACTCTTCTCTGTCACAATTGTCTGGGTTTAGATTTGATTATATTCCATTAGCATTTTAGACAGTCTATCCAACCCCCTTCCTTATCACTTGTTTATACTATGCATACCTTAGATCTGGGAAATTGGTTAGCTTACAGATAGAAATATAGTGTCTTTTTGTTAACTTGAAATAACAAAATGGAGTCTGGTCTGTTCAGAGTGACTCAGAATATACACTTTTAGTTTCTATCATAGCACAAAATGTCTGCCGATATAAATACTCTGACAATGTGAAATGACTAAGTGTGGGTAAGTAGGAGTCAAGTATTTTAACTGGGCACCACTTGTTCTCGGTGGGATAAAGTGGTGAAAAGGATGAATGAGTAGTTTGGTTTGTTTTAGAGGTTTGTAGAGAAAGTATATAGTGATCGGGCCTGAGACAGAAGACTGGCTAGTCCATCACAAGCTCTTGGAATAGCGGAGTTCTGGACAGCAGCCTGTCTGCTGTGGGGTGAAGCCGGAAAAACACCTGAAATTGAAAATGTAAACGTGTGTCAGCCAATTTATTATCAACACCTGAAAAATGCTCACATAACACATAAAATTGGTATGAGGTGGCAAGCCATGTACATTTTTGGACCAACCTCATGATGCTCAAGGACTATGAACTACCCTTGATGATGATTTTGCATGCCGCCACGTTGTCACAGAGACACCTAATAGCCTTCCCTGTCGAAAAATGACGCCAAGTGTGTGCTGCTGCCACTATGGGGTACATTTTGAATAGGGCGGAGGTCTCCCTGAAAGCTGTCAAGGAGAGGGTCTCAAGCCAAGAATCTCTGAACCAAGGATTTCCAAAAACAGCGGCAAACCCTGAATGGGCTGCTGCATCAGTCATGATAAGTGGTGATAAGTAACGTATCACCTGAACGAGAACGGCCCAGTTCAGAGGGTAATTAGGGTTTTTATAGGATAAGATAGATTCAAACTCCTCCCACAAATACAGGCCAATGACCTTAAAATGTATAGACATATGCCATATGCAATACTCCTACTCCATGATCAGAAATACACACACATATTGCCATACTACACACAAACATATATTTTGTAAGAATTAGGCGCCTGCAGGTTCCTAAGATCTGAGTCTGGCTCTGCTTCTGTGACAACATTAAAATAGAGGTATCTGACATACCTGTGTAACATTTCAATTTATTGCTAAATGATGGACTTCTTATAAAAATTGCCTGTGTGTGTTTAACTGGCATAACTCTCTGTATATAATAAGACACATTGTGCATGTACAGGGGTGCATAATAGAACATACTGATCATACGCAGATGTGCACAGTACGACACATTGATTTTGCACATGTGTGAATTATAGGACACAGTGCACTAGTTCAGTTGCACACAATAAGCTACATTATGCATGTGCACAGAGGTACTTCTATTTTAACATTACCAAAACAATATAAAAATTAAGTTCATTCCACCCTGCCAATTGCATCCAAACAGCTAAAATCCAGAAATGATGGACATTTGGTTGGATTACATTTGCAGATAGTCAGTTTCCAATTCTATTAAAAACAATCTATCATTTTAAAAAGCTGCAATTCACATAATTTATTTATTAATTTATTTATGAAATTTATATTATTTTACAATGTTTTATTTTAACAATTTTCCAGCTAGTTGCTTGACAATGGGAAAATTTTGCATAGTTTTGGAGACTAATCTGCAAAGCAGATTAATTTATTTTGTGAATTTGACTTGTACTGGTTTTGTTCAGACTGAATGCTTTTGAGATTTGTTGTTTGATAAATATGCAAATCCTATATATGATATTCATGTGATAATTATTGTTGTTAAAATAATCATTGGATGGACCTGAATGAGATATTCCTTTGATGATCCTTTGGTGTAAATTACAGAATTCCAAGCAGATTGGTTTCTATGAAATATGTGGATGGAAAATCTGTTTGAAATTTGGTTATTTCAAGCAAAATTGCTAATAAGCACTACTTTTGTACTTTAGTGTGTAATCCTGACGTTATAGTTTTTTTTTCTCCCTAATGTAAACATATATTTGTCCCAGACTACATGATAAAATCGTCTGATAACCTCAAATAACCTACTTTAATAGATAGTAAGACTAACGTTACCCAATTTGTGTGGCTAAATGTACTATATATGTGTCAGGAACATAAAACCACACTTAACAAAGGGTCAATTTTGGGTTTAATTTTTATTTATGTATTACATAAACACTAGTTACATACTTGTGTTCAAATGGTCAGAACAAACTAGAAATGTAATATAGGATATGAAAAATGGTTTATGATTATAAAAAGTATTCCAATGTCTTAAGAAAATACAAATTAAACAAACCAAGGCTTTGGATATATCATGTTCATATGCCTTTGGTTCCCAGTACTCTCCATTTTAAACCTTAAGGAAAGCTTACAAGTGAAAGCATTATGTGTATAATATAGCAAGGGATCTTCAGCCATTCATCACAAGGGGAACATGAACACTTTGCAAGATGTGCAACAGTCCATTAGTAACCGTTACTAAATTGTCCAACATTTGTTATTTTTTGAAATGTGTTTAAAATCCAGAGGTGCTGTTCTAGAAATAACAAGTCATTAATTATTGTGCTCAAAAAACACTTAAGAGAGCATTGGATCCTTCATTTTGGCCTCCATCCATATTCATACAGTGCTATAACAATAAATCATAAGTAAAGTTTTAGAACAAAAGCAAGTTCCTGACTTAAAGAATGAGTTAGCACCACTAACCACGGTCTTAAAGCCTAGTTGTTTTACACTAAAGTTTCCACATTTTCTTGTTGATTGGGTTCCATGAAAGATCAATCGTTCCCACCGAGGTTTAGACTACATCATTTTGCACCATTAGTGTTAGCAGCCCGTCAATCACAACACTGAGCTATTTTTGGAAGAGAGATGTTCAAGTGTTGGGTTTTTACTTTACAGAACACAGATTGCTTTCACGACTCTGTTTCAAACTGAGATGCAAGTATTTTTAAGAGCAGGCAATGGGGACATAAAGAAAGCTGGTGTTGATAAAATTTGGCAAGGATGATCTTCATATTGATACCCACTAGTGGGTGAACATTTGTTCTGATGTGACCTCTCACTTCCAGCTGCAGGAAACTGTCAGGTATTAATGTTGTTTCCCAGAAATATGAATATGTCCCTTGGCAATAAAATGGAAGAAACATTTTTCTATTAAGCTCCCAATCATCTTCCAAATAAAAGAATTGGCAAAATAATCTTAAATAAGGCATTCAGATGCTAGCATGTGTTTTAAAACAGTTTATGAGCTTTGTGAATGAAATAGTGCATAAACATCTACACATTATCGTTCAGTTACATATTTTTTAATCAAAACCTGATCAGAAAATAAAGAAATAAAATTACTTGTGCTGGTCATCATGCACTGTGTCCAGTGAAAGAGGTACAGGGAAGATTTATCTCTGATAACTCGCTGTTGAACTTGAATGGACAATTTTCTGCAGTAAACTAATGAACTTATCTGAGAATCTCCAGTCCCCTTCTTTTGTCAACTTTCTCTAATTTGTGTTCCCCCTCTTTCCCTTTTTTTTATCTCAATGTCCTCAATTTCCCGTCCTGTCTTTTTTGCCATTCTTGCTCTGGAAGAACTGCGCTCTAAGGTACTAGAACTGCTGCTAAATTTGCTGGTAAAAGCTGTGAACTAGGCTGATGTGTTTCTATAGTGATATGTTGCATTATAACAATCTAGTAAAAAGCATTCATTGGAGGCTTCATGACTGATGGCTGGCTAACTTGTTGGCAGATAACAAGTGTCACCTTAGAAGGCATTGAATGCTATAGGTGCTAGAGGAGAGGATTTCTTGTATTAGATTAAAGGGATCCTATAGGACCAGGAAAACAAACCCGTTTTCCTGGCATTATAGTTATAGGCTCCTGGAATGCCCCCCCTCCCTCCAACCACCCCATGACACTGAAAGGGTTAAAACCCCTTCAGATACTCAACTTAATCCAGCGCCGATGTCTCTCAGTGCTGGGTCAGGCTCCACCCACGCTCCTTCCCCACCGACGTCAATTGGCAGGGGAGACCGAAGGCGCATGCGCGGCAATGGCCGCACCCGCATTAGACCTCCCCATAGGAAAGCATTATTCAATGCATTCCTATGGGGAAAATCTGCCACTGGAGGTCACAGCACCCAATTAGCTGAAGTGGTCTGGATGCCTACAGTGTCCCTTTAGTTTCACTGAAACTGAGACAGTGTTAATGCTTTTATATTGCAATTATTCATATGCTCATGAAACACAACACACGGTTGCTTGAGTTTTAATTCATCCACACAGATTTTTGTGCCGTAAGGACTTACAAATAAACATTTCCATTTTCTTTAAGCAGAGATGAAGACTGAAGAATCAGAGGACAATTCCAAATAGGTTTGCCTCTTAATAATAATAATAAAAATCTGATACTTAAATTAATAAAATGATGGTTTCTTGTCGTATTAATGCTTTTGTATACACGCACTGACCATTTTTTTTCTAACAGGTTAGGTCTTCAGGCATCTGACCGAGGGTCTCCTAGTCTTTCTGCGACAAGTGAAGTGTTAGTACTAGTTTCGGATATTAATGATAATGCTCCAACAATTCCACCTTTAGAAACTGTGTCAGTTGCTGAAGGTAAGCAACATTATCAAACGTTTTGAGCTTGATGACATATATTTGCGTAAACAAATTGCAGCTTGTGCTTTCTTTTGACCCCAAAAGGTTAAAATGACAAACATGGTTTGGTTCTTTGGGGTACTTTTAAATCCAGCATCGGTAACCAATCTATAACACATTGTGTTATATGGATGAAATTGCAAAGACTGTTGTACAGGAAAAATAGAGATAATCAAAAGTTCATGGACCATTTTACAGCTGACTCAAACATTTTTTAAAAGTGATCAAGTTAAAGTGGACCTAATTTGTGATACACAGTTCTTTCACAATGTTGAGTTTGATATACTGATATCATAAGGGTAACAGTTAAGAAACTGGAGCTTTCAAATGTTTTTTTGTTTTTTTTACCTTTATGAGACCAACGAAGGGGGAGGACCTATATACCTAGAGACAGGGACTCTAAAGGGTTTGGAAAATAAACCTGTATTCCTAGCACTTTAGTGTTCCTTTAAGGTGAATATACATACACTACACATGTCATCAAGCTAGAGCTAGAGGATGCGATTTAGGTGTTCATTTTTCTCATGCCCAAACACTATTTTAAGGTATTGGATAATTGTCAGAATAGTGTTTTCAAAGCATTCAAGTTTCCGTAAAAGTATAATAACTCTTCTCTGTATCATGATTACTAAAATGTAAGTGTTAAATTATATATGTCATATAGTATCACCGAACTTGAGATTATGATCACTTCAACATCATTAACTGCTTGTCAGAAGCTATGAATGCATTGATAAATATCAAATAAATATCAAATAATATTCCAGTATAATTAAGCATATATAAAGTATCTCCTTAATTGTAATACATTTTTAAAACATTTTATTAAATGTGTATCCCTTATATAGTGTATCGTGTGTATCAATTATACACATTGATTGGAAGCAATACAAACTGAATCTATAAGAAAAGGAAACAAAAAATAACAAGGAGTCTTAAGAGAAAGAAAACCTAGAAACAGGTAGTGCCTACCTAAACCATCTAACCCTAGGGTCACTAATAAAACTAAAGCTAACAACAAAACAGAAAAGTGCTACCCATAGTGATAAATACACATGAAGTGAGTTAGAACAGGACTAGCTGTTATTATTTATTATTATTTATATAGCGCAAGCAAATTCCATAGTGCTGATGGTTAGATGGTTTAGGTAGGAACCACGTCCCTGAGGTATCTAGGGATAGTCCGTGTATTTGCTTTTTGGTCCTCTCCTTCCCCCCTCTTTTTCTTGACCTCCTTTTTTATTTTGTTCTATTTACTCTGCCCTTTATGACTTCACCTCTCTGGTAGGGCCATACTCTGTGCATTTTCAACATTTCTAGGGGTTTATCTAATTTATGGTGACATATATGGGTTTACAAATCAGAGAACTAGAGAGAGTTTATTTAAGGAGGAATTAGAGGGCTGACCACTGATTATCATATTCCTGTTACCTCCCTGTTGGGTACTATATCTCCCCTTTTCCCATTGTCTTGCCCTTATTAGTACAAGGTTTCCTGGTGGCTTGTAGGGTATTAGTATTATAGTTTCTTTGGGACCTATTCTCCACTGGGCCTTTGGGTACATTTTGCTAAGGCTTATTGGTACCCCTAACCCTATATTTAATAACGGGTATTTTAATATTGTTATTACTATTTCCCTCCTTTAAGGTTTTCTGTCTCTTCAGACTCTTTGTTCTTTTTCCTTTCCTTTAATTGAACCAGGGTTACCCTCTTTTTTTTGGAAAAACAGTTTCAGGTGACCTCTTAAGGTCTTTGCCTCGCGGCCACTGTTTGGGCAGAGGACTAACATCATTACCTTTATTTTTCTGTTTTGAAACTATAAGAAATCGATTTTTTTAAATGTCAATGATGTCACATCCCAGCATACTCATTAATTTGCACACTGGGAGAGAGAGCACTGCTTCAGAGGCACAGATCTGCACTCACATGTCTCGATTATTAGGGAAGAGATTCACTTCCTTACCAGAACCATGTCTGGATTCAGTCACCAGGGATGCATTAATCTCTGGTAACTGGATTATATCAGTGTACAATGAAAATATTCATATTCAGTCACCACAGCTGAACCTTCTGTGATAAACAAAGTGGTACAGAATAGGACGAATACCAAAGAGAAAAGAGGAAAAGTAGTAATCAGAAGGGAAATGTAAGTGTAACGGATCACCTGGCACCCCAACTGGGTACCTCCTTTGAAGAATGCTCCTAGCTCTTCCTGGGGACTCCAAGCACTGCAGGATACACCACAACCACCGAACCTGAGAAGCATACGAATGCTCTCAAGCATATGAATGCTGTAAGCAGCTGAACAATAAAAGCATACAATCAGCTTATACGCCTGGCAATCAGAATACAATACAATTCCCCCAATAACGAGACGACACTTCGTTTTGAGGTCAAGTAGAACTGACTGTACTGGCACATACAGCCTCTTTTATTCCCAATCCACAAACTTAGTACTGCCGACAGGGTTTTACAGAACAACCAATAACACACGTACATTACAGAAAACACTCCCAGCAATTATACACAAAATCCTCCCCTCTGCCTCTTAAAGGGGCATTGTTCCCAAAAGTCACAGTATGTCCCCATATGGTTCTTAAAGGGCCAGCAGCAGCATAATAAAATACAATATGCCCAAATAATGTATTTAAAGAGCCAAATCTCCCAGGGACCATAGTCAGCAGGCAGGAGGCAGGCAAACAGGCTTCTCCAATGCCCAGTGGCGAGGTTGGTTTCGCCACAGTAAGGTTATGGTAAAGAAATTCAAATGGGTAAGGGAAGAGAAAAGAAACTAACAGGTTGTGGAAAATAAGCAGTGAATTATGTGGAAAAAAGATAAGTAACGGTTTTGGAAATAATCCTGTACCACCACAGCCTCACACCCAAGGTGTTCCTTTATCTGGGTGGCAGTAAAACATTTACCATAAATAACACCTTTTAATACCTTATGTTGAACATATTGATTTATTTGGCTATATAATATTTTATATAGCTTAGGTCAGCCATAAATAGTAGAATCTACCACAATGTCTCAAATTAAACTGCAATTTAACATGGATACAATATTATGGTGTTGCATGAAAGACCTAGAATAATTATTGAGATTTATGAAAATGATCAACAACACAATCATTTTAGACTTGCAGTCAGTATATTTGTTTGTGGTACTCCTCCAAATGTTACATAGAACACAAAGGATATAACTTGTATTTATCCCTTTTACTATATCTAGTAAAAAGTAAATGTTCTCATATAAATGCATGTCTAATAAAATAAAGAAAATAGAACTGTAACAAGCACAAAGTCAAATTAAGGCTATTTGGTTCAGTCCAAATGCCTTTCATAACATCCAGAATCACATCCATTTCACATATTTTCCTATTGTTAATATTTTGTTTTATATGGATGTTATAACAATGGAAACACATAGTTAGAAAAGTTGGGATGCTTTTTGTTGAAGAAAAGGGTAGATAATTTTTCTAATTTAGATATTCGTAAGAGGAAATTCCAGTAAATCATTTGAGATGATTAGACTAGAACAACCTATTCCTGGCCTGTGAATCCTTAGTCCATCAACACTCATTTTTAACATTATGTGCTATTGAAAGAGTATTTAACCCAAGCCATGTGTATAAAAGTAAGCATTTTGCTTCATTTTCTATTATGTCCTGTCTATTTCCCCAGCCTTGTGTTTCTGACTTACATGCCATTATCTGTAAATGGTAGTTTCTTCCCAGTGGATTAAATGACCAGACCATTGTATTATATCCACAGTGTTAGTGCTGACACTTGTACACATGTAGAAATATACAGTGTGTGTGTGTGTCTTTCCTATCCAAAGAGTAGTCACTTACTGCTATTCTGTGTAAAATTAAAGAACTATAAAGACATATTAGTCGATTTAATAGACTATACTGATAAGTGAAGCAAATTGACTATAACCTTTTGATATGCAGTCATACTGAATGCTTTTGTTGTTGTCTGAGTATAACTATTGACTTTGCAGTTGGATTTAGGAAGTAGTAGTGTAAGAATTATTCATAATGATTTTTTAAAAAGTGGGTGGGGGGAAGTTTATTTGTTATCTATGACACAGACTCTTTTTATGTGCCACCATCTCACAAAAACCTCCATGTCTCAATGAGCAAGGAAAGCTGTGATGGTTTTCATACCATAAATATATTTGATCCTGGAGATCCAGTGCAACATGGTAGGCAACATATTTTCTTTCCAGAGGTCTTTTTAGCGGCAATTAGAACGTATCTAGTGAAAGACATCTTCAGTTTAGCTATGGGCACCTGTAAAGGAACACCATAGTGTTAGGAATACAAATGTGTAGTCCTCACGCTATAATGTCACTGTCCCTATTTCTTTAAGTCCACCCCATAGAATAAAAGGTTAAAAACCCCTATAACAGTTACCGATTTCCAGCATTGAGGCTCCCTTGATGCTGGCTGGGTCCTCTCCTCCCACGATGTCATGCCGATCGGGGAAACTAACATGCTGCATGCACTTTAAAGTCTCACAATCAGAATCAAGTCTTTCCTATGGGGAATTTAAAGATGTTAGACCTTCTAATGCAAAGTTTGAGGATGTCCAATGTCATTTCACGGAGTTGAACTATGTTAGGGAGCAGGAAGAGTCTCTAGTAGCTGTTTGGAAGACAGCCACTAGAGGTGGACATAAAACTGCAAAGTAAGCACTGCAGGGTTAAAGGGACAGGGGCACTTCACCCAGACCAGTTCAATGAGATGAAGTGGTCTGGGTGCCTATAGTGTCCCTTTAAAAAAGCAGGATCATTGCAGATGGATTTATTGGGATGCCAGGGCCCTGGATATCCAGTGCAGTTTTAATTACATTCAAATATAACATACTATGCTGACTTTGGCCTTGATTTAAAAGATTTTACAAATGTATTAAATACTGTTAGAAAACCTTTCCAAATTATGTATCTACAAAAACGGCCCTAGACTTTATTGGTGACTTCTGTAGATAAATCATTTGGAAGATTTTTTTTTCTTACAGTATTGAATGATTTGAAAAGCTTATTACATCAAGACTAGTGATGTCGCGAACCCGAAATTTTCGGTTCGCGAACGGCGAACGCGAACTTCCGCAAATGTTCGCGAACCGGCGAACCACCCGAAACTCCATTGACTTCAATGGGGAGGCGAATTTTAAAACACACAGGGACTCTTTCTGGCCACAATAGGGATGGAAAAGTTGTTTCAAGGGGACTAACACCTGACTGTGGCATGCCGGAGGGGGATCCATGGCAAAACTCCCATGGAAAATTACACAGTTGATACAGAGTCTGGTTTTAATCCATAAAGGGCAGAAATCACCTAACATTCCTAAATCACAATCAATATGGATTGACACCTGACATATGACATATTGACACCTTGACATATGGATTGACACCTGTCCTCAGAGCCCCTGATGCACACGGACACAGAGCAGAATAGAGACTGTTCCCCCTACATCGGGTCACTTGGCAGATATGGATTGACACCTTGTTACAAACTGCTATTTGTAACTGGCCCTTTAAATGGCAAATTGCCCTGCTTCCCTGGGTTGTGGAGAAGCCTATTTGCCAGCCTCCTCCCGCATGACTATGGCCCCTGGGAGATTGTGAAAATGTATGCACTTTTATTTGGTGTGTATGGCCCTTTAAGACTGTCGGTGGGCATATTGGGGCTTATGGACTCTTTATGTGACTGGTGCTGGCCCTTTAAACACCTTTTTTGGGACATCAGGAAGATTGGGACACTGCCCCTTTAAGGCCGTGTCCCCAGACTTGTTGGGGACACGGCCCCCTTAAGACGGTGTCCCCTGTGTCCCCAGACCTGGTGCAAACCCTTTGTGCCTGCCTTGCTATTTCCCACTTGGTTCAGTAAATGGGAAATTATTTCAGCTGCAGAGACTAAGTCCCATTCGGCGATGGGACTTAGTCTTTTTTTCAGCCGTTTTTTTCAGCCTTATTTCAAGGTAGAGACTAAGTCCCATTCAGCGATGGGACTTAGTCTTTTTCTCAGCCGTTTTTTTCAGCCTTATTTCAGCTGCAGAGACTAAGTCCCATTCGGCGATGGGACTTAGTCTTTTTCTCAGCCGTTTTTTTCAGCCTTATTTCAGCTGCAGAGACTAAGTCCCATTCGGCGATGGGACTTAGTCTTTTTCTCAGCCGTTTTTTTCAGCCTTATTTCAGCTGCAGAGACTAAGTCCCATTCGCGATGGGACTTAGTCGTTTTTTCAGCCTGAAATAGACCGACCTCACAGCCCAAATCT